TCCAGTTCCAAGGGATCCAACAGCCTCTTCTGTCCTCCTCAGGCATTGCATCACACGGTGCACTGATCTGCATGCAGGCATAACATTCATACACATAAAATAAAGATAATAAATAAAATATTTAATTAATAAATTAGAGAGGATAAGAAATTGAGAAGGGGGCAGAGAGGAGACATGGGAGGGGATGGAAGGGGTCTGGGAGGGGTGGAAATAATGCAAAGACAATACACATGTATGAAATTTTCAAAAATAAAAAATAGTAAAAAAAATTAACAAATGAGAGGCTAGAGAGATGGCTCTGTGGTTACAAGCGCTGGCTGCTCTTGCAGAAGATCCAAGTTCAGTTCCTAGCACATACATGGCAGGGGACAACTGTCCATAACTCCAGTTCCAGGTGATCCTATGCCCTTTGTGGGCATTGCACGATAGAGGCAAGATACTCATACACATAAAATATAAATAAATGGGGCTGGAGAGATGGTTCAGCGGTTAAGAACACTGGCTGTTCTTGCAGAAGACCTGGGTTTGAATCCCAGCACCCACATGGCAGCTAACAACTGTCTGTAACTCCAGTTCCAGGGGACCTGACGGCCTCTTCTGACCTCCTCGAGCATTGCACGACATGGGTGCACTTACCTACATGCAGGTAATACACACATACACATAAAATAAAAATAATAACTTTTTAAAAAAGTTAAAAAAAATAAAAAATAAAAAAATATAAGTATTTAAAAACTTTAAATGCAAATTAGACAACAACACAGGTCTGGGCTGGGCTAGATTTGGTGATGGAGTCCTTGCCTAACAGTGCAAAACCCCATGCTCATCTCCAGAGAGGCAGAGGCAGAACAGGCAGGGGGGAGGGGTTGGAGGGAGACATACCCTAACACACAGGGTCTTACCTCCTAGCATCCTCTGGGGCCTGACGGACTTTAGAATAAGCTTCAGCTATGATGGTGGCCCTAGAGAGCAAAAGCAAACCTTGAAGAGGAGACCTTCTAACTGCCTCTGTGCCCCCATCCTACCTCACCCCAACTCACTTGCGGTGCATCCCTCCCCGAGAAGGCAGATCTGGGATGTCCTCTGAAGCCAGGGCCCTGAAAACAGTGTTTAGGCCTGGGGGTTCCTTAGCGGGAGCACACAGCTCTGAGAAGGAGGTGAGGATGAGTGGGGCGCCCCCTTCTTGTCTACTGCCCCTCCTACTGGGTGACTGCTCACCATATACTCTGTGGCCCAGGGCTACATCTAATGCCTTCTCCCTTTTGATCACCTCCTCATAAGGGCTAGGGGCTCCTGAAGCAGACCAGGACACAGGTCATGTTATCCAGGCTGCCCTGGATAGAGTGGAAAAAAGAGCATCTGTGGGAGAGAGTTGACAGCCCCAGCCCAGGGTTCCCTGCCTTTGAGCACAGCTTCCTTAGAATTCTGGTGTTGGAGTCTCCCTCACCAATCTGGCTATCCAACCAAGCACTCTCCTATTTGGACCCAACTCTTATACCATGCCCTCTCCCTGTCACACCCTATTAAAGGAGATAGTGATGGGCCAGTGAAATGGCTTATCAGATAAAGGTGCTTGCTGCTAAACCCAAAGATCTGAGTTCAATTCCCAGGCCTCATATGATGGAAGGAGGGAACTAATGGGGCACGTGTGTGTGCGTGCACACAAATACATTGAAAAAAAAAATGAAAAAGTAACCAAGGCCTATTAAGTTCCTCGAACCCTCCAGTCTAGGGGCTCTTCCTGCTGTTTACACTATCTCAGTACTGATCTGCGTCCTAGCACTGCCCCCAATCCTAGAAACCATGTTCCTTTCCTCAAACCCCTCACCTACTACCACTCACATTTATCTTCTTCTTCTTCTCCTTCTTCTTCTTCTTCTTCTTCTTCTTCTTCTTCTTCTTCTTCTTCTTCTTCTTCTTCTTCCTCCTCCTCCTCCTCCTTCTTCTTCTTCTTTCTCTCTCTTTTTTTCTTGAGAACTTTTCTCTCTCTCTCTCTCTCTCTCTTTGGTCTTTTTGAGACAGGGGGTCTCCCTGTAGTCCCAGCTGGCCTGGAACTCAATATGTAGACCAGGCTGTCCACAAACTCACAGAGATCCACCTGCTTCTGCTTCCTGAGTGCTGGGACTAAAGACATGTTCCACCACACCCAGCTTACTTTTTTCTTTTAGTATTTTTATTTTATTATTAATATGTATGAGTGTACTGCCTGAATACATGTAAGTGCACCCATGTCGTGCAGTGCCCACAGAGAGGTCAGAAGAGGGTGTCAGATCTCCTGGAACTGGAGTTAAGACGGTTGCTAGGTACCATGTGGGTGCTGGGAACTGAACCTGGGTCCTCTGCAAGAGCAGCCAGTGCTCTCAACCACTGAGCCATTCCTCCAGCACCCACTCAAGATTTTTGGATTCGTTGATTCGTTTTATGTGTATGAGTGTTTTGCCTGTTTGTATGTAAGTGTACTACATGCATGCAATACTTGCAAAGGCCAAAAGAGGGCCTTTAAAAATCAAATCTGCTAGAACCAGACTTACCAACAGTTGTTAGCTGCCATGTGGGCGCTGGGAACTAAACCTGAGTCTTCTGCAAAACCAGCCAGTGCTGTTTTGCCTGCATGTATATAAGTGCACCTGTGTCCTGCAATGCCTGCAGAGGCCAGAAGAAGTTATCAGCTCCAGAACTGGAGTTATAGAGGGTTGTTAGCTGCCATGTGGGTGCTGGAAACTAAATCCAGGTCCTCTGCAAGAGCAGCCAGTGCTCTTAACCGCTGAATCATCTCTCCAGCCTATATGTGTGTGTGATGTTTTGCCTGTGTATAAGTGTATCACATGTGATGTGTGCAGTGTCCACAGAGGTCAGAAGAGGAAGTAAGATTCCCTGGAACTGGAATTACAGATGTTTGTCAGTTATCATGATGTGGGTGCTGGGACTCAAACCCAGATCCTCTGTAAGAGCAGCCAGTGCTCTTAACCCCTGAGCCATCTCTCCAGCCCCTAGCTATCACTTCTATTGTGCCTTAAAGCATCTTTCCTGCCCTGAGCTCTTGGTACCTTGGTCTGGCTTATTCTAAACCACCATGCCTTCTAGTTGAGCCCCATTCTCTCATCAAAGCCTCTCCTCCCCAAATGGGTGACATTTTCTCTCTATTGCTCCCAAAACTCCACGACCCCTGCCCGCCTCCAGGACCTTGCACAGACACGTGTCGAGCAGCTGAGCGCAGAGCAGTTCTGGGGCGAGGCCCAAGCGTAGGCGCGAAGCCACCAGCCCTGCCAGGGCGCCACTAGACATAGCATCCCACAAGTCGTCCGAAGCCTGGAGCACGAACTCGTCCTCCTCCTGGCGAGCCATTGCGGTTACCTAGGGCTCGGTGGACACGAGCTGCTGCTCGGGAGGCCTCCTCGGAGCCTCCTTGTAGGCAAAGTCCCCTAAAGCTCGCGACACGGCCAGAGAGCCCTCGACACGCCGGCGGCGGATCGTGCCACCCGCGTCGTGGATGCGCTCGCGTTCCCTTGGACGATGGAGTCGGTGATCCTTGGTGCTGAAGACCACGGAGCCCGAGCGACTGAGTATCCCTCGCGAGTCCCCGTAGTGTTCCAGGTAGAGGAATCGTGGGGACACGAGCAGCGCCACCACCGTCGAGCCACCGGGGTCACCGCGGGGCCAGAGTGCACGAAGTTGCTTGTCTGCCTGGAGGAAGGCTCTGCTAGCGCTTCGCGAACGCCCTCGGATTCCTAGGACTCCGGGCCCAGCTTCTCCAGCACGTGGCCTGGAAGGTGACGCGCTCCGAAGCGGGCAGCCCGTGCCCTGCCGTGGCATCGAGGATTGCGAAGAAAGCCCAGCCGGGGGACATCCCGAACATCGCCAACCAGGCGCAGTGCGCGTCCTCCATGCGCGCATGCCAGCCCTGCACTGGACTTGCGACACGGCTGCACCCCCGTGTGGCCTCTGCGAGCATCGCGGGGCAGCCAGGAGACATCCAGGACCGTCGGGGACCCTGCGCGCCACCTCCTCCTTCTCTGCATCGTTTTCCCCGGAAGTAGACCGCAGGAGACGCTCCAGCTGGCAGGCCAGGGGCCCCCATCCTCCTGCCACAGGATCAGCAAACCTTCACCCTCTACACAGCCCTCCAACTCAGTTAATCTCTGTACTGGGAGAGTTTAAACCAAGTAAATCTCTTTCCCATCCCTTGACCTGCATGAAATCTGGTCACTAGAAGGAACTACATTCTTGGGCTTCCTCTTTCCTGAACCTTTAGAGCCTGACTTAGCATTTGGGTCAGGAAAAAAAATAACCGACTATTTACATC